GCAGGGCTTTGAGGAGGGTCAGGCTCAGGAGCACCACCTGACTTGTCACCCCCCTCACCCTCAGGAGCCTCAGGAGCCTCAGGAGCCGCATTGCCCGGGGCAGCCTCATGCTCCTGTGCCTGAACAGCGGCAGGAGCTGTGGGCGAAGGCGGGTGTGAGTCAACAGTGACAACAGCAAGAAAGACAACTACCAATTGAACTTAGCCCTCGGAAGTCAGAAGCCATGACCAATGACCCATAGCTCAATCCGCACCAAATGACAGCCTGCTTTGTCTCCAAGGTAGCCATCTTTGGAGTAGCTGTCTCAGCCACAGTCTCGACTTCCCTTTTCACTGGGACTGTGCCAGCCTGACGAAGGGAGATTCCACGGGTCCACGGTCACCACGGTCCACCGCCTATTGGTTTCACCGGCACCGGCCCACCACATAATGTGTGAACATCAAGCCGTAGTAGTAGCTGCACCTGCTAGTCTAGTTACTAGACTATAGTTATAGTTGTCACAAATTCCAACCAACTTCTGTCTTTCTGTCTTTCGACTACTGAAAATCAACATGGATGTGAACCTGACTAGGTCACTAGGTAGATAGGACAGTCTCATCCCCGACACCCTGACCTGAGAGCTGCCTTGGCAACCAGCAACCGCAACAAGTACCGCCCCAACATCCCAGTTGAAAGTTGAAACAAATTTGGACCTGTAAAGGGGAAGAAAACATGGCGACTAAGTTCTGAGGTTGTTACCCTTACCACAGGGCACCGCCCTTTGTGGCCTGTGGTGTTGCTTGGTCCTTCTTGTCCTTGCCCTTGTTGTGGGTGACGTCTACGATCGCTCCACTCGATACAGCAAAATGTGTATCCGTTTTCTCTGCCACTGGATCCCCAGCCGGAAGAGCATGCAACACAACTTGCGCTGCGGCTGTCATGCCAACCTGAAGCAAAAAATGGCGATCCAATGTTTATAAACTTCTGACTCAAATGATTGGTGAGTCTGGTGTTATGCCACCTGATCACCCGATCTGCGAGTCGTAGTGTCAGCGCCAAAGATGGGTCTATTGATTCTTGAGTCGAGTCAAAAAGAACACACACACACACACATATATATATATATAGAGAGAGAGTGTTGTATTCTCCATATTTTCACAAGTAGTTTCCGAAGGAAATGAAATCGAAGGAAGACTTGTCAACTGCGAATACTGGAACTGCCAACTGCAATGTCCAGAGATTCAATTTCTCGCCTGATTCATGGCGTAACGAAAGCTTGCTGCACCCTCGTCAGCGTAGACCAAGGCATTCACCCTGGCCGTGGATCAAACGTCATTGAAACCTCAACACCGCTCTGGCTCTGACTTTTTTTGGTCCTGGTTTGGGCCTCCTACCGACCAGCACCATTTTTTGCTTTAAGAACCTTGTGCCTTTCACCAAAAGATCGAATTTAAATTAGTCACCTTGCTCTGCTTGTGCCCACCCCGCCTCATCAGGACAGACTCCGTGACACTCTTCTCCACCAGCAGAGTGCCCATTGGAAGGTAGAGCACGTCACCAGTCTTGACATGCGCGGCAACCAGCGATCCAAAGCCTTGACATGTCAGGATCTGTGTCAGGTAAGGTAAGGACGAGCCCGTTTTACATTATACATCTCGGATGCAAGCCGCTAACCGTCAAAAGTTTGAGCCTACAGTTTGAGGCGTTAAAGTCATAGTCATTGTCGACGAATATTGAACTGTTCCATAAACCGACCGAACCCAACTATGAACTGCCAGCCCAGACCGAGACCAGACCAGACCAGAAACAAAATTCTCCGGGCAAATCCGAGGCCGACATGTTCTGGAGGTAGTCCCGGGCTTCCAGCAGTGACGTTGTTTGGAAGAACTCCAGTGCTTCCTGCAACATGGACAGCGGTGTGGTGTGGACTGTGGTGGACCGGTAAAATTATAGAACTCTTACAGAACTCTTTTTGAATTTAGTCTTGAACCTGGCTTGGACTCAAAGGCAGGCAAAAACAATCACATAATCAATCACAGGATTGATACTGTATATGTTTGTTGATGTTGTTGGTGTGAACTATGTCAAACTCCAATGGCCCTAAACCAGATTATCCACAAATGAATCACCGGACTCTCACACTGGGCTGGCCTGCACATCACAGCACACCATGATTTTGCTGCCGCTTGATTGGACCCGAACTGTAGGAATGCAACAGTTCTCCACACCGGCGAACAAAGTGCCTTGCTTGGTTCCCGAAATAGTCACCTGACCAAGCTGCTGCATTGCTGATTTTGGTACGCCTGCCAAGGTCCAAGGTTGTCAGGAAACCATCCGGAGTCACCATCCAAAACTTAAATCACCTACGATTCTACAACGCAAGGCAGCAAGCAAGCAAACAAACATAAAAGACGGCTCGGATACAGGTCAGTGAGCAGAAGTTCTGATCTGAACCCCCACAATCCTTTGACTTTGACTGTGTAGCATGAGATGCTGACCATTCAGCTAGACCTTTACTGCTGGTGGACCTTGCCTTACCCGGCCACTCTATTCTATCCCGACCCCACCTGACTCAGCCACAGCCAACTCTAGCATCTCCTCATCAAGGAATCCAGCTTCAGTGCCGAGCAGCCAATTGGTTGGCAAAGCCGATGAAAGCAGATTCGTGCGAAAGGCTGACACTGAAGCTGCAGCCTCTTCATTCTGATTGCCATCATTGTCAGAGCTGTGGAGATTGCCCCTTCAGTGCGACACCCGGTCCGAGAGGGAAAAAAAACTGACTGAGATAAGGTAACACCATGGTAACACGAAGTATGAATGATCAGAACAACAAACAAAGTCGGAGAAATCAAATCACTCATACGCTTGTCTAAGTCTAAGTCTGACACCGTGACTCATATTTGCTTTACCTGTCACCTGTATCCATTACTACCGGTACAAACAGCGGATAGCCTTCGACACTGTTAGCATCTCACAGACTCACAGCTACAGCTACAACTTCAACATCCAAGACGAGGAGCACTCGTTTTGGCTTGTCATCCTTCTGCAGCTCCGCACTGAAGTTAGTAAGGAGAGCGTCCATGAATTTCTTCATAGCCGCATCTTTCGCCTTGTCGCCCCTTTTGCAAAGATTTGCCACAGTGTTCCTGCGCTGGAAGCATGAAAATGAATCAATGAGTCTACTCCGTTTAGCAATTTAGCAGGTTTGACTTTTTCTATCCATCTACCTGTGACCCATTTACAACACCGTGATGTAAAAATAACATCGTCCTACAATGAGTCTCTGGCAGTCAGCAAATAAAAAGAAACATGGTCCTCCCTTTGCGCAAAATGAATGGCCGCCGACAATCCATCTCTTTGTCATCCTCAGAGGTGATGATCAGCATTGGACGCTTTTCCTGAAATATCCTTGGGCCACGGCGACGATGT